AAGCCCTTCCGTGAGCCAGGCATGGTGATGCACACCTTTAATTCCAGCACTCAGGAGGCAGAGGCATGAGGATCTCTGTGAGTTCTAGGCCACCCTGGTCTACATAGTGAGTTCTAGGACAGCTGGGGCTACACAGAGACCCTGTCTCAAAAAGACCAAAAAAAAAAGTGTGGATAGGTTGGGACTAAAAGAAAATACACACCAGCTTCCTACAGCAAGTCTTAAGTAAATTTACATAAAAATCGCTCCAAGGTATATAAGGTGCATGAAACATGAAGGTAAGCCTGCTTTGAACAGGCCAGTGTACATGGTAAGATCTCCAACTTACAGGAATAAGGACTTCGACTTTAGAAGCAGCATCTGTGTACAATGCTAGTTTAGCAGTATGATGTCACCGTTCACGTTCAGCTCCTGTACCACCTTGTTAGAGGAAATTTTCTACTGAGCATGTATGTACTGACAAAGCAGGCCGAGTACTCTGACAAAGTTGAAAAGTACAACGGGACACTCAAATGTTATCTGAATTAAACCCAGATGCAAAGAGCACACTACACGCTTAAACATTCTACACATTCAGACTATTTGCTAAAGATTTATACCTGACTACGGTGTTCAATAGAATTGGATTCTTTGCCAGTTTTAAGTTCCAGCGGCATTATCTTATATTTTGTTTTACCACCTCGATGTATTTTCACATCAACTGTAACATCTATTTTGCCCTTCAATCCAAACCGAGGGGACCAAATGCTTTCTTCAATATCCAGTGATTTTGTTACTTCAATGTTACACAAGGAATTACTGTTACTACCATCACTTGGCCTAAAAAATAAAAAACAAAAAACACTTAGTTAGAACACAATCTTCACATCTGCCTCCACTGACTGCTATACCACACCTGTCTTTTCTGATTGCTGGTTTTTTTTAATTTGCTTTTTGTTTGGTTTCCTGAGACAGGGTCTTAAATATATAGATCAAGATGACATTGAACTTGTGACCCTGAAGCTTCAGCCTCACATGTGGGACTGTGGGTTGGTACTACCACACCAGGTCTCACCTTGGTCTTGGTGACTCACCTGGAGCTATACTATCAGCATCACACTGAATCCCGTATAAAAGCAAAACCTCAAGGGTTTTGCATGGCCCATTAATTCCAGCACTCAGAAATGAATGTGTAACAAGCTCAAGGCCAGCCAAGAATGGTGGCACACGCCTTTAGTCCCAGCACTCTCGAGGCAGAGGACGAGGCTCTCTGTGAGATCGAGCCCAGCCTGGTCTACATAGCCAGGTCCAGGCCAGCTGGGGCTACAGGAAGACCCTGTCTCCAAAAGACTTAAAAAAAAAAACAAACAAACAAATGGAAATCTGTAACTATCACACCATCAGTCTAAACATCTTGCATTTGACAGAACTGGGTGCAAGTGGCTCTACAGATGGTTAGAAGGTTCCAACAGAAGATTCCAATAGAAACAGATAGGAAATGTCTTGAGGAAATATAGGAAAGAACATGCTACTTTTTGCACATGCCTATTACCAGACATGATCATGCAGGACGCCTGACTTCTTCAGTGTGAAGCATGAGATGCTTCCCTGCCATTATCAGAACCGGCTTCCCGGCTATCATGGGCAAGGGAGCACAACTAGGGCTCAAAGCTAACTGACCAGCTAATCATTACCATGTCTTAGAGATTGGGCTGGGCAGGTTTAGCCTGGTAGACAAAGCACTGTATTAAAGACAAAATTAAAAAGCTACCAAGTTGTTTGGTGAGAAACAGGTAGCTCTGAAATGGTTGCATCATGTTGATGCTGACATGCTCACTCCCTGCTCTAATAACTGACAGAGAAATGTGTGTGGTGACACTGATGTTTTTTGTTTTCTGGGTTGCTTTTTGTGTATGTTCTGGAGACAGGGTCTCACTAAGCATCCCTGGCACACCTGGAACTCAGTACGTAGAACAAGCTGGTCTTGAACTCAGATATCCCTACCACTGCTTCCCAAGGGCTGGGATTAAATATGTGTGCCAACACACCTAGCCAAGGAGATACATTTTAAAAATCATTCTTAAGAGGCTAGAGAGGTGGCTCAGTGGTTAAGGCACTGGCTGTTCTTGCAGAGAATCTGAGTTCATTGCCCAGCATGCACATGGTGGGTAATTATTAGTAATTCTAGTTCCAGGGGATCCAACCCCCTCTTCTGACTTCCTCTGACACTAGGCATGCATGTGGTATACTTACATACATGCAGAAAAAAAACACTCATACACATAAAATAAAATCTTTTTAAAAATTCAAAAGGAGCCAGGCGTGGTGGCACACGCCTGTAGTCCCAGCACTCGGGAGGCTGAGGCAGGGGGATCTCTGTGAGTTCGAGACCAGCCTGGTCTACATAGTGAGTTCCAGGCCAGCTGGGGCTGCAGGGAGACCCTGGCTCAAAAAAGACCGAAAAAAAAAAAAAAAATTCATAAAAGGTCAGATGAATTAGTTATTCAAACAGTGAAAAAATATGAAACTACGCAGAATAACATGAGAAGAATTGATTATAATATTGATTATAATGAAAATTAAAATTTTCTACTCATTCCTGGCATAGTGGCAGCACACCTTTAATCCCAGCACTCAGGAGGCAGAGGTAGATGGATGTCTGAGATTGAGACTGAGGCCAGCCTGGTCTACATATAGAGTTTCAGGCCAGTTAAGGGAAATCCTATTCAACAACAACAACAAAATTTCTATTCATTAAATTGTTTGGGTCATGGAAAGACACGATGGGTCATAAGGTGTGAAATGGGCAACAAAATAGCTAATTGTAAAAGCTTGTTTCAGGCGTCCATGTCAGAATCCTATGGCACGCTAGTTAGTGGACCTTAGACAGCTTTCAGGAGTCAGTTCAGTTCTTGCCTTCCACCATGTTCAGTTCTTAGCCTTCCATGCTAGGCTCAAACTCAGGTCATTAATCTTAGCAGCAAGGGCCTTTACCTGCTAAGCCATCTTACCAGTCCATAGCTTGGCCTTTAAAAAGCTTTAAAAGATTTATTTTTACGTGTATGTGTACCCGTGTAAGTTTATGTGCACCATGTGTGTGGGAGCTTGAGGAGACCAGTAGTGAGCAGCAGATACCACGGAACAGGAATTACAAGTAGTTGTGAGGTGCCATGTGGGTGCTGGGAACAGAAGCCAGTCCTCTGCAAGAGCAGTAAGCACTCTTAACTGCCAAGCCATCTCAACAGCCTTCCTGAAAAAGTTCTGAATCAATAAACAGAATGGGATCCTGGTCTAGACTCAGAACACGACATAAACACAGTGCACGTCTTACAGAGAAAGCTGCATCCGAGGGATGGCAGCAGCAGTGCCATGCATGAAGTCTTCAGCCCACTTGGAAAGGGAAGGAAGGTATTCTCCAACCTCCTGTTTTACCTCATCTTGACTCAGGTTTAAGCGATACCTGCCAAAAAACAGAAATAGGGGCAACAGATAAGAAAAACAATATCCAAACAGACAAGCTTATAATGAATGGATTTTTAAAAACATTTTATCCATTATTCTTTTAATTTTTTTTTGGGGGGGGGGTCTTTTTGAGACAGGGTCTCCCTGTAGCCCCAGCTGTCCTACACCTCACAATGTAGATCAGGATGACCTTGAACTCACAGAGATCCACCTGCCTCTGCCTCCGAAGCGCTGGGATCAAAGGCGTGCGCCACCATGCCTGGCTTGTTTATTATTTTTATTTTATGTGTATGTATGTATTGCCTGCATGTAGGTAAGTGTACCCATGTTGTGCAATGCCCTTGAGGACAGAAGAAGCCGTCGGATCCCCTGGAACTGGAGTTACGGACAGTTGTTAGCTGCCATGTGGGTGCTGGGATTCGATCCAGGCTCTTCTGCAAGAACAACCAGTGTTCTTAAATGCTGAGCCATCTCTCCTGCCCTCTTATTCTTTTATTTTTGAAACAGGGTCTCCCTGTAACCCCACCTAGCCTGGAACTCCTCTGTAGACCAGGGTGGCCTTGAACTCATAGAGATCTGCCTGCCTCTGCCTCCAGAGTGCTGGGATTAAAGGCATATACCACCACGCCTAGCTTATTTATTAGTCTATTTTATGTGTATTAGTGTTTTGCATACATGTAAGTACACCTCTATTGTATACTTACCTCATGGAGGTAAGAAGAGAACACAGGATCCCCTGGAAATGGAGTCATGGACAACTGTTAGCTACAACATGGGTGCTGGAAATTGAACCTGGGTCCTCTGCAAGAGTCGCATGTGCTCTTAACCACTGAACCATCTCTCTGGTCAGTCATTTCCCCCATTCTTTTATTTGAGACAGGGTCTCGCTGTAGTCCCAGCTAGCATAGGACTCACTATGTAGACCAGGCTGGACTCAGAGATCTACCTGCCTCTGCCACCCAAGTGCTGGGATTAAAGGCTTGGATTGTTAAAAAATTGACTCTTCGGCAGGCGTGGTGGCGCACGCCTTTAATCCCAGCACTTGGGAAGCAGAGGCAGGTGGTCTTTGTGAGCCACAGGACAGCCTGGTCTATATAGTGAGTTCCAGGACAGCTGGGGCTACAAGGAGACCCCTGTCTCAAAAAGACCCAAAAAAAAAAATAGATTGACTCTTCAAACTGGGTGTGGTGGCGCACGCCTTTAATCCCAGCACTCAGGAGGCAGAGGCAGGAGAATCTCTGTGAGTTCAAGGCCAGCCTCGTCTACATAGTGAGTTCCAGGACAGCTGGGGCTACAGGGAGACCCTGTCTCAAAAAGACCAAAAAAAAAAAAAAAAAAAATTGACCCTTCAAGAATTTCATACATATACCTGGGTTCGATTCCTAGTGCCCACATGACAACTAACACCTGTCCATAACTGTAACTCCAGTTTCAAGGGATCTGATGACCTTTTCTGGCCTCTGGAGTATAGTGCACTGATACATAGAGAATAATAAATAAAATTTTAAGAAAAGTAAAAAATCCTCCATAATGTCTCCTTATCTAACTATCTAAGTCTAAAACACTCATACATGTAAAATAAAAATAAAAACATCTTAAATTATTTTTTAAAGTAAAATTATATATTTTAAGTATTTTATTATTTATTATTTTTATTTATGTGTATGAATGTATTGCCTGCATGTAAGGGCACCTGTGTTGTGCAATGCCAGTGGAGGTCAGAAGAAGACATCAGATCCCTTCGAACTGGAGCTACAGATGGTTGTTAACCACCATGTGGGTGCTGGGAATTGAACCGGGGTCCTCTGCAAGAGCAGTCAGTGCTCTTAACTGCTAAGCCATCTCTCCGACCCCTATTATATATATATATATATTTATGTGTACAACTATATTGCCTGTATGTAGGTATGTGCACCCATGTTGTACAATGCCCACAGAGGTCAGAAGAGGGCGTTGGCCCTGGAACTGGAGTTTTAGGCAGATGTTAGCTGCCATGTAGGTAATGGGACTCAAACCCAGGTCCTTTGCCTCTATAAGAACAGCCAGTGCTCTTAACTTTTGAGCCATCTCTCCAGCCCCATAAAAATATTTTTTTAAGTGACAGCAGCACAGGCCAGCATTCTAATGGTCTGTAAAACAGGCAGCTCTATCTTTTCCAGGTTCTTCAACCCACTGAGTTATCAAAACTGGCAAAGTTGCATCTGAAGCTGCTTTCACCTAAGTCCAAAGCCACACAATTTAGAATATCAGTTTCTAGAACTAATGTGAAAATGCTTATTGCACATTCTCTGAGAACAGCCAAGGAACTTGCTGAGCACATGTATGGGATATTTAAGTTATAGTAGCCAGAGTCCCTGTAGCTCAAAGTCAGGAACACCACCCAGGGGTGGCACCCAGTACTGCAGCCCTAGAGGCTGAGTCTTGCCTGCACTAACTCATAATAAAATCCACTTCCAGAAACCCAAATTCTAGGCAAGTAGAATCAAACTGTACCTGTGGTTCTTCTCACAAATACTTACATTTCCTTCAAATGTCTTAGTTCTTGAAAAGTTTGAAAAGCAAACTCTTGAAGCTTTTCTGGAGCAAAGCTGTCACTGATCGCTTTTTGAAAAACTTCATGGAGAATTGTACCAATCAGCATTTGGCGAGTGACAGGATCAGAGATCTATGAACATAAAGCAATATAAACAGTTTACTCCACAATGTATAGCACAGGAGTGATTATATATTCTAAAACTATCAAAGATGCCAGGCATGGTCACACGCCTTTAATCCCAGCACTCAGGAGGCAGAAGCAGGCAGATCTCTGAGTTTGAAGCCAGCCTGGTCTACAGTGAGTTCCAGGCAGCTCCAGCTACAGTGAGACCTTGTCTCAAAGATTCCCCCCCCCCAAAAGCAATCGGAGCCAACATGTATTGATTATGTCAAAATATTAAAGTTCTCTTTTCTTTGTTTTTAGGCAGAATCTCACTCTAGCTCAGGCTACACTGGGACTATGTACCCAGCCTGGTCTGGAACTAGAAGTGATTCCCCTGCCTCAGCCTCCCAAGTGCTGGGAACACAGGCAGGAGCCACCACACCTGGCACTGTTTTCTTATAGTGGGTAGAATAATTAGATGACTTTAAGTTTTCCTACTCAGAATTATCTCAATTATTGTACAAATATTAAGTAATTTTTTAAATCACTGTATTTCCATTTTGAAAAATGATTAAAATACCAAAAAAAACCCCTCAACCTATTGTCAAAGGTTTAAAACTTGCCAAGTATCCTCTCTACTTTTACTTTATGATCTACCCAAATAGAAATATAAAGGCATAGCTGAGAAATATGCAAGTGATAGATTCAGAGTTGGCAAGATGGCTCAGTGGGTAAGTGGTTGTCCCTTGCCGGGCATGGTGGCACATGCCTTTAATCCCAGCACTTGGGAGGTGAAGGCAGACAGATCTCTGTGAGTTCAAGGCCAGCCTGGTCTACATAGTGAGTTCCAGGACAGCTGGGGCTACAGGGAGACCCTGTCTCAAAAAGACCAAAAAAAAAAAAGTGGTTGCCCCAAAACCCTGGCAACATGAATTTCATCACCAAAGCCCACATCCAAAAAAAGCCGGATGCTGTTTCTACTGCGGATGGTGGTTGATGCAGAAACTCAACAACTGGTCAAAGTGCAGAGTAAAAGTGCAAAGTATCAGTGGAGTGTTCAGGCACAAATGGCACATCTGTTATCAGCACACTCCCCACCCCAAGGCCCAGGGACCACAGTGGAAGAGGGAGCAGAAAGACTGTAAGAGCCAGAGGATGGAGAGGACTGGAGTAAACAGTCTTCTGAACATGACAGGACCCCTGCACTCATGAACTCACAGCAGCTGTGGTTGCCTACAGAGTCAAGCCAGTCAACACCCCAGCACAGAGGGGGTTGGTTCATGAACACCCCTATCCCTAACTGACAAGCTAATAACTATGACAGCTCATGGCTTCTGGGGGAGGGAGGGTCAGTTTTCTTTAAAGGTATGACCCCTGGTAGGTCAACAACACTCCAGTGGATGGCCCCCACACTCATGAGCATATGGGCAGCACAAACTGGACTGGGTGGGTCATGAAAGTAAAAAGTTGATGGGGGAGGTGAGAGGTGGATCTGGAAGGAGTTAGGGAGAAGGGTAGAGGTGAATGTGCTCAAAATATATTGTATGAAATTCTCAAAGAATTAATAAAAATGTTTAAAAAGAAAAAGCCAGGTGTAGTGGTCCATAGGCTCTCTGAACTCAATATCCTCTCTGTAAGATGCAAATGAAGATCTTCTACCTGTTGAGTGGACCAAGTGACCAGTGAGATGGAAATGTTCTGAGGGTGAGGTTGTGCTTGGAGGAAGACAGACATAAATGTCCAAGGCCCAGGATTCCACCCCGACACACCAGGGGGAAAGGCACATTAGTTGTTACAACTGTTTACCCTGAATGTTTCACTCAGGACCGCTCTTCTCATACACCGAATACTACTGGCTACGCTTGTGCCAGAGAGCAGCAGATCTGGGTATAGAATCAAAAATCCAAAATTGTCATCTATTATCCAAGTTTCAGACGTGCAGTCTCCCTCCAAATGAATGATATCTCCTGGCTGGACTGGCACAGAACACCTAAAAACAAAGCAAGGTTAACATGGAAATATACAACTTAGATTCCTACATTTAAACATATTAAAAAGGCATTAAACATACCAAGCAAGCTGGGTGTGGTGTCACCCGCCTTTAATCCCAGCACTTGGGAGGCAGAAGCAGGTGCATATGCATATAAGCAGGCAAACATTCATATACATAAAGTAAAGATAATTTTTAAAAAATTTATTTTTATCATTTTTATTTTATGTGTATGAGGGTACTGCCTGCGTGTATGTGAGTGCACACATGTCGTGCAATGCCACGGAGGTCAGAAGAGGGCTTCGGATTCCCCTGGAACTGGAGTTAAGGACGGTTCGTAAGCCGCCATGTGGGTGCTAGGAATCGAACCCGGGTCTTCTGCAAGAGCAGACAGTGCTCTTAACTGCTGAGCCATCTCTCCAGCCCCCTATTTTTATTATTTTTATTTTAAGGGTATACGCATATTGCCTGCATGTAGGTAAGTGCACCTGTGTCATGTAATGCCCGCAGAGGACAGAAGAGGCTGTCGGATCCCATGGAACTGGAGTTATAGACAGTTGTTAGCTGCATGTGGGTGCTGGGATTCAAACCCAGGTCTTCTGTAAGAACAGCCAGTGTTCTTATAGGCTGAGCCGTCTCTCCAGCCCCAGTAAAGATAATTTTTAAAAATTAGTTTGGTCGGGGGGGAATGGCTCAGCATAAGAGCACTGGCTGCTCCTGAAGAGGACCTGGGTTCAGTTCCCAGCACCCACATGGCAATTAAGAATGACCTATAACTCCACTTCCAGGGGATCCAATGCCCTCTCCTGACCACCAAGAGCACTGCACAACATGGGTGTACCTACATACATGGCAGGCAGTACACTCATACACATAAAATAAAAATAATAAAATATTAAAAAATAGTTTGGGGCACAAGAGAATTGAGATGCTGGGATAACACAGTTTTCCAGGAAAATCTAGCAAATCTACTTCATTTTTTAAAATATTTTATTATTTTTATTTTATGTGTATGAGTGTATTGCCTGCATATAGGTAAGTGCACCCATATCATGCAATGCCCGTGAGGACAGAAGAGGCCGTAGGATTCCCTGGAACTGGAGTTACAGACAATTGTTAGCTGCCATGTGGGTGCTGGAATTCGAACCTGGGTCTTCTGCAAGAACAATCAGTGTTCTTGACCGCAGAGCCATCTCTCCAGCCCTCCTTTTATTTTTTATTTTTTTGGTCTTTTTGAGACAGGGTCTCCATATAGCCCAAGCTCACCTGGAACTCACTATGTAGACCAGGCTGAGAGATCCTCCTGCCTCTGCCTCCCAAGTGCTGGGATTAAAGGCATGTGCCACCACACCTGGCTTTTTTTTTTTTTTTTTTAAAGACAGGGTCTCACATGTAGCTCTGTCTGGCCTGAACTATGCAGACCAGGCTAGCCTCAAACTCACAGAGATACTCCTGCTTCTGCCTCCCAAGTGCTAGGATTAAAAGTAAGCAAAGGTGTGAGCCACCATGCTGAGACTGATTTAATCCACACAAACCATTTGACAGGTTAGAGCTAGGACTATAGCTTAGTGGCAGAGTGTCTACCTAGCTCACACAAGGCTTAGGTAAGCGGACATCCTTCAGACTCTACCTAGTCAAGCCAAATAATCCTAGCATTTGGGGGAGAGGGATAGAGGCAGGATAATCAGGACTTCAACAACAAACTACGTAAGACTCTGTCTCAAAAACAGAAACATTTGATAGCCAAACCAGTCAGTGCTCAAAGTCTAACACAAATTACCAGCCATTCCTAAGGATGCATAGTTCCTTGTGCTCTGGTGACTGGGAGGCAGTGATGACCAGGTGTTTTTCATCATCACCCCTTTCATTCTGTACAGTTTCAACAGCTAGTACCAGGTAGCGGTTATCCAGTCCCCGGCTCAGAAATGTTTGAGGAAAGGTATCCATCTTCTCCTGAAATCTAGAGCATACACATAAAAAATCATCTTAGTGAAACCATGAAGGAACAAGATTCCCAACAAGTACCTGGAAGTTAGTGCTCTAGTTTTGTAGGTTTGTTTCTTTTGAAGAGCTTAAGTTGAACAAAGACACACTGGGAGAATTCCTATTATAAAAAATAGGGCTGGTGGCTGGGCGTGGTGGCACATGCCTTTAATCCCAGCCCTCAGGAGGCAGAGGCAGAAGGATCTCTGTGAGTTCAAGGCCAGCCTGGTCTACATAGTGAGTTCCAGGACAGCTGGGGCTACAGGGAGACCCTGTCTCAAAAAGACAAAAAAAAAAAAAAAAGTAGGGCTGGAGAGACAGCTCAGCAGTTAAGAACACTGGTTGTTCTTGCAGAAGACCTGGGTTCGAATCCCAGCACCTACATGGCAGCTAACAACTGTCCAACTCCAGTCCCAGGGGATCTGACAGCCTCTTCTGTCCTCCTCGGGCATTGCACAATACATACTTGTGCACTTACATACACGCAGGCAATATATGTATACATATAAAGAAATAATAAAAACTGGGGCTGGCACTCAATAGCTAGAGTGCTTGCCAAAGCTCGGGTCCATCAGATTCCCAGTACTGTATGAACCAGGTATCTGGGTGTGGCGACTCAAACCTGTAATCCTAGCACTTGGGAGCTAGGGTCAGCAGAACCAGAAGTTCAAGGTCATCCTCTGCAACAAAGAGACTTCAAGACCAGCCCAAACCACTTGAGGCTCTGTTTCAAAACAAACAGAAATGACTCCTCTTTAAAAAAAAAAAAGAAATTATTATTTTCATGTGTATGAGTGTTATGCATGCATGTAGGTAAGTGCACCCATGTCATGCAATGCCCTCGGAGGACAGAAGTGGCTGTTTGATCCCCTGGAACTGGAGTTACAGTTGTTAGCTGCCATGTGGGTGCTGGGTCTTCTACAAGAACAGTCAGTGTTCTTAACTGCTGAGCCAAGCCATCTCTCCAGCCCCAGAAAAGACTCCTCTTTAAAGAAAAGAAAAAAAGAAATTTTTTCTCAGGTGCAACGGTGCACACCTCTAATCCCAGCACTCAAGAGGCAGAAGCAGGCAGATCTTTATGTGAGGTCAAGGCCAGCCTGGTCTACATATCAAGTTCCAAGCCAGTTGGGGCTACATTGAGAGATCCTGTCACAAAAAACAAAAATTTAAAAAAAAAAATTTAAGATGGCCAGGCGTGGTGGCACACGCCTTTAATCCCAGCACTTGGATCTCTGTGAGTTCAAGTCCAGCCTGGTCTACATAGTGAGTTCCAGGACAGGGAGACCCTGTCTCAAAAAGACCGAAAAAAAAAAAACCAAAATTTAAGATGAATGTGATGGCTTGTACAGGAAGCTTGCCACAAATTCAAGGTTAGCCTGATCTACAAAATGAGGCCTGTTCAAGGCCAGCCTGAGCTACATAAAACCCTATTTCAAAACAAACAAACAAACAAAAAATATTGAACATGTTTCTCCCACTGCTTAAAGCATTTCCAAAGCACAACTAAAAGAAGAAATTGTGGTCACTTTTCCAAATATGAGACCTGTATCCGGCAGGATGTAGCTCAGTGGTTTAGCACCTGCCTCATACATGTTAACATATGAGGACCTGAGCTTGATTCCCTAGTACTGTTGACAGAAAAAAGGAAGGAGAGATTTATTTTGCAAGAGTAGCAAAGGAGGTTTGCTGGAATTCCTCAGAGAAGTTGCAGAATTTACTAATCTTTTTTTTTGGGGGGGGTCTTTTTGAGACAGGGTCTCCCTATAGCCCCAGCTGACCTGGAACTCACTATGTAGACCAGGCTGGCCTCGAACTCACAGAGATCCGCCTGCTTCTGCCTCCCTGTGCTGGGATTAAAGGCGTGCACCACCACGCCCAGCCGAATTTACTAATCTTTACCCTGACTTGGACCTACTGTGTGTCAGGTCTTTGGTGCCCCCCCCCACCATCCCCCTCTCCCCAGGGTGAGGGAACACCACTAAACAAACACATCATCTAGCCCAACTTCCTATTTAATACAGGAAATGTTCCCAGCCTCTCCTGGTAAAAAAAAAGCAAGCTCCCCTCCCCACTCCCAAGAAAAGGTGAATGCACAGATGTTCTCAGCTCTGACACTCAAGCACTCCTCCAGCCTGGGCTTTTGGAGTAGCTCTCATTACTTACACAAGTATTGAACCACAATGCCACATCCCACTAGAGAGCAGGCCTCACAACTTTTGTAGCTCATTCTTTTACAGTCACTCTGGTTTGTAATACACATTTATAATGATCAAAGTCAAATTCACTGTACATTTGTCCATTAGTTCAAAATAATTTTTAAAGACTTTTTTACGTATGTTTTTCCAGCATGTATGCATGTGAACCATGTGCATGCGGTGCCCTCAGAAGTGAGCATCAGATCCACTAAAACTAGAGCCACCAGGCCGGTGCTGGAAACTGAACTTGCAAGAGCAACAAATGCTCTTAACAGTTCTGAGCAGTCTCTCCAGCCCTGCAAAATAGTCTTTATAGAAAAACCCCTTTGCTTACGTATTTCCTGTTGGACTTTCATAATCCTAACAAGTGATCAAGTAAATCCAAAGTCTCTCCCTCTCCAATTAGAACATCAAGTCTTTTACATCATCCTACAGATCAAGTCAGCAGGCTGCACAATCCATTGTTCATAAATGGTTCACTTTACTCCCCTAAGCCATGACTTTCCTGAGCTCCGCTGTGAAGCCTACTGGATCTCGTCATGTTGTGAGGCTCGGCCTTTAAGGACTAAGCCATCTCTTCGGCCCCTACTGGATCTCTTAAAATGTATTACCAGGCCAGTGAGAAAGCTCTGGGTAAGGGGACTTCCCCCAAGTGGGATAACTGGAGTTCAGTCCCTGGGTACCCCACGGTGTACAGAACAAGCGGTCCTCTGACCTCCACGGTGGGCCACACACAAATAAATAAATGCAATTTTAAAGTTTTTAAAGGTATTGTTGACAGTGGTGTGGCGGCGTGTGATCCTGCTGAGAAAGGAGAAGAGCGAGTGCAGGGCTGACCTGGGCTACACAGAAAGACCTGTCCAAAATAACCGCAAAAAGTCGTAGCTGACCCAAAGCACAAAAGCAGACGTTTCTGGTTTAAGTTCCTGCGGCTAATCCTAGGGGACGGCATCTAGCACTCCCAGCCGGGAAAAAGCGGCCGCCCAGTCCCGCGCCCGCTCTGCGTTCAAATCTCCCGCCGCCCGCCCGCCCGCCCCACTCACAGCTCGGGCTCCCCCGCCGCCTGGGATCCGCAGCTCTCCTCAATCAGCAGCAGCTCCAGGTCGTCCAGCCGCTCCATCCCGGGGACCGCCTGATGGGGTCCAATGGGAGCTGGTAGCCGGGAACGCCAGAGCTAGGGACGCGCGGGAGAGAGGCCGCGCATGCGCAGACCCCCGAGAACAGGGGACCTGCGCGCTGCGCTCCCACCCGGCCCTCTGCCAACAGCTCCTCCGCGCGGCCCCGCCTGCCTTCTTGCCCCACCTGGGCTATGCAAAAAGAAGCCTGGGTGGCCAGCCTGGAGGAAGCGGCCCAGCCGACCACTCCAGCCCCGGCCCAGTACAGGTTCTAGTTGTAAGGGGTCTCCGAGCCCGGCTGCCTGCTGCCAAGACTGCCGGCCTGAGTTCAGTACCCCGGACCCGCACGGTGGAAGGAGAGATCCGACTCCCTCCCCCTGCAAGCTGTCCTCTGAACGCCACACAAGTGCCACGTGATATGTGCATGCATGCACGCGCGCGCGCGCGCGCGCACACACACACACACACACACAATAATGTAAGCAAATCTTTTATGTGTGTTGTGCCTACACGGGTAGGGGCACCATGTGTGTGCAGTGCCCGTGGAGGCCAGAAGAGGGGTCAGATCCCTAGAACTGGAGTTTCAGTCCTGGGTTGTTGGCTGCCATGTGAGTGCTGGAGACTGAAGCAGAGTCCTTTGCAAGAGCCGCAAATGCTGGTGACTGCTGAGTCCTCTCTCTGGTCACCTAAAATATCTTTTTTTAAAAAAATATTTTCTTTATTATTTTTATGTGTACGAGTGTATTGCCTGCATGTATATGAGTTCACACGTGTCGTGCAAGGCCGCAGACGTCAGAAGAGGACTTCGGATTCCTGGAACTGGTGGTGACTGCTGAGTCCTCTCTCTGGTCACCTAAAATATCTTTTTTTAAAAAAATATTTTCTTTATTATTTTTATGTGTACGAGTGTATTGCCTGCATGTATATGAGTTCACACGTGTCGTGCAAGGCCGCAGACGTCAGAAGAGGACTTCGGATTCCCCTGGAACTGGAGTTAAGGACTGTTCGTTGCCGCCATGTGGGTGCTGGGAGTCGAACCCAGGTCCTCTGCAAGAGCAGTCAGTGCTCTTAACCGCTGAGCCATCTCTACAGCCCCAACTAAAATATCTTTTAATGGGGATGGGAAGATGGCTCACAGGTAAAGAGAGCACACTGCTCTTCCACAGGAATTGAGTTCTGTTCCCAGCACTCAGGTCAGGTGGATCCCAACTCCCTATAACTCCAGCCCGATGTGGTGGCACAAACTGATAATCCCAACTCTGGGGAGGCTGAAGCAGAGGGTTTTGAGTTTCAGGCCAGTCTCGGCTATTTAAAGAGACCATTTCAAACAATAAATAGGGATGGCAAGTTGCTCAATTGTAAAAGGATTGCCTAGCACATGAAAAGTCCTCAATTTGATCTCTAGTTCCACAAAATGATAAAAGAAACCATGGAAACAATGATAAAAATTTATTTTCAATATCTTTATGGGTCTATAACTGACAACTTTAAAGTGCAATTTTTTATTTTAAAAATATTTTCAGTTCTCCTATCTTGATAACATAACTAAGATGCTGACTTTATACATTTCAATTATCCTAAGTGAATAATAATAGTTGGCTACAAATGTGGTCCAGAAATGAAAACACAAAACAGTTTTATAAATATATGTATTCCTACCTCCTGGTATGCTTATAGTCATAAAAAGACATTTAATTTTAAAATAAAGAGTTTGAAAAGTAAATCATTTCACCAAATTTTATGGATATGACAAATCTTTTACACAAAAATCAAAATTAATGCAGAAATAACACTTGCAACTTAGTTTTCTAATGTCTTAAAAATCAACTCTATCAATCACTACTTCTAAAGATGAAGCTTGTAACTATTTCCTCCATTTGTCGTGCTTAACAATAAAACACAGAAAGTACTCTCAACACAGCAATTGGAATTCTTGCATTTTAAACAAATTCTTAAAATAAATGGTACTAAATCATACTGTATTTTTTACTTAAGATTATAATACACTAAAATTACTGTACATGGAAGAACTCGTGTCTTGACAGAATACCTCAGAAACAGGTGCTACTTCATGGTCCACTCAGATAAAATTTCTAGTACATACCAAGTCATTTATCAGACATGTCAGTGGTACTGCTCTGCCTTTGAGAGTAGTGCATTCATTATTACTGCCTCTGGGAAATACACTGACTTGTTAAAAATCATGGAAACCAAAGTACCTGGGAATAACATTTGGCCAAAACCTGATAGTTCTTTGTTCAGACTCTTACTTTTTAAATACAACAGTAATTTTACAAAAAAATGAAAGGCTTGGGTGTGGCTCAGTGGTACAGCACTTGCCTGACATGCACAAGAGTCTAGATTCAATCCCCAAACAGAGCAAAAGAGAAATAAAGAAATAACCTTTTTAAAACAATGAAGGAAGCCGGGCATGGTGGTACACGCCTGTAGTCCCAGCACTTGGGAGGCAGAGGCAGGTGTGAGATTGAGGCCAGCCTGGGCTATAGGTCTACAGCAAGTTCCAGGCCAGCTGGGGCTACAAGGAGACCCTGTCTCAAAAAGACAAAAAAAAAAAAAAAAAAAAAAAAAAAAAAAACAAAAAAAAACAATGAAGGAAAAAGTGTCCTTTTATCCACTGGAGCAGAATTATAAGACAAATAATAAGAACACTACTTTGGCCAGGCATGGTGGGACACGCCAGCGCTGGGGAGGCAGAGGCAGGTGTGAGATTGAGGCCAGTCTGCTCTACAAAGCAAGTTCTAGGCCAACTGGGGTTTCAGGGAGACTCTGTTTCAAAAAGACCAAAAAAAAAAAAACTACTACTTTGATGTTGCCTATGTGTCATAGGACTTAAAAAATTCAGTTCTCTTTGAACCCAGCACTTGGGAGGCAGAGGCAGGTAGATCTCTGTGAGATTGAGGCTGGCTTGGTCTACATATTGAGATCCAGGCCAGCTGGGCTACAGGAAGACCCTGTCTCAAAAAATAAACAAAAAATTCACTTCTCATTCTGCTACAATAAAAGCAAGTGTGTTTATTTTAGTAACACTAAACACTGTTTGCATGCTGGAGATATAGTTCAGAGGTAGACCACTTACTAGAATAAGCAAGAGAGACCCTGAGTCTTTGTCTCAAAAAGATGGAAAAGAAGGAGGGAGGGAGGGAGGGAGGGAGGAACTGAGAGACAGAGGGAATAAATAAGCAATGTGAGAGGGCTTGGGATTTAGGTCACTGGTAGTGTGATCAGCATCTTTGAAGCTCTTTGAAGGTGCTGTGATGTAGCTCAGTGGTATGGTACTTGCCCGGCAGGTGCAAGACCCTGGGTTCAATCCCCAACAATGCAAAAAATCAAACACAAAACAATCATAATTACAGGCTGGGGAATAGCATAGTGGTACAGCATGTGCTCAGTATGCAGAAGTCCCTAGGTTTGATCCCAGCCCCTCCCCACCTCCACAACTACAATCACAATGAAAAGCTTAGAACATTATGGTAAAACTAATGACAATCTCTTCAACTCCAGTATGAAGTTACTTTTCCTTCCAAATAAACAACCTAACTGGTTAGTCAACATCAGCTTAAGTTTTGTTTTGTTTTTTCAGTGTTCTAAGGTATAATGTTTGGCAATGAAATGTATGTTAAACTAGCCATAGTGGCACATGCCTATAATCTCAGTACTTGGGAAGCAGAGGCAGGAGGCTTGCCACAAGTCTGAGGACAGCCTGGTCTACAAAATGAGTCCAAAACCAGTCAAGGCTACATAACCAGATTCTAGCTCAAAAAAAAAAAAAAACTATGCTAAGCCCTTCTGATTTGTGATTTTAAAAAACAAAAGAAATCAAGTATTAAAATACCAGTGGTTCCTGTGACAGGGTAAATGTCCCACTTCAAGTAATGCTTCCCTCACATTTTAAGGTAACATATTTTTAGCTAATTTCCTCTGAGAACTTACTGAGGAAAAGCAACTACAAACCTTAATTTTTTGCTTTAGTTAAGGTGAAAAAATTGTTTCATAAGTTCGTATGTTGTGAAAGCCACTGCTTGAGAGGGAATGCAGCGAATGTAGTTGAGAGATAAGCCTCGGTACAGTCCTCTTCGAATCCCATGGTGCCCGTAGACGTATTTCATCGTTTCCCGCATTGTACTGAAAGACAGTGATGACAGGGTACAACCATTCATGAGGCAACAAGACTATCTAAGGATCCAGGACAGGTTTGTTTGTTGATTGGTTGGGCTTTTTTGTTTGTTTTTGTCTTTTTGAGACAGGGTCTCCCAGTTGCCCCAGCTGGCCTAGAACTCACTATGTAGACCAGGCTGGCCTTGAACTCACAGAGATCCACCTGCCTCCTGAGTGCTGGGATTGAAAGGAAGCACTACCACACCCATCTGATTGGTTATTTGTTTGGTTTTTTGGTTTGTTTTTTTCAGTCAGACTCTCACTACATAATCTGGGTTGGCCTTGAACTATAATCCTCTACCTCCCAAATGTTGGGATAAAGGAGTTTGCCATCAGGCCCAGGCCACAGTACTATTTAAAAAGAGGCTTAACTAGGCATGGTGGCTCAAGTCTGTAATCCCAGCACTTGGAAGCAGAGGCAGAAGTTCCAGTCCAGCTTGGCTAGAATAACCCTGTCTCAAGAAAATCAATAAATGCATATATAGTAGTAGTGGTGGCACATGCCTGTAATCCTAGCACTTGGGAGGTGGAAGCAGGATGATCAGGAGTTCAAGGTCAGACTTGGCTACATAGCAAGTCTGAGAACTGCCTGCAGTGTGCAGAAGAGATGAGGGGAATGGACGGGAGGGGGGGGAGAGGGGGAGGGGAGGGAAAGCTAAAATGTCTTCTGTAATAGCTTTTGGAAGACAAGGGTTACAAGTGGCTACAACCTCACAATGAAACAGTGAATCATTTTAAACAAGTGCAAGCATTCTGCAGGAACATTCTGGGTTCTTCAGTACAACATATTCTATCTCTGATGTTAACTGACAGCACTATTCCATAGAAATACTGATGGATGCAAAACATGGAAGATGTATGGGCACCGCCTTTTAAGCATCTGACAATAAGCCTTTCTGCAACAGCAACCTGGTGGTTGGAGACTAAAGCTTGAGGAGCACCAGGTTTCAGCCCGGACCTTCAAGGAGGTGCTGTTGGGAGATGACAGGAATCTTTAAGACTTGGGAATGAGACTTCACTGCCTTCCTGGCTTTCTCTTTCACTCCCTGCCTATGAAGTAGATTACTTTGCTTGGGTTTCTTTGAGACAGGGTCTTGCTGCATAGCCCTGGCTGCCCTGACTTTGTAGATCAGGTTTCAAAGCAATCTTTCCCCATTCTCTCTCCCAAGTGCTGAGATTATAGGAGGGGGCCTCCAGGCTCAGCAACGTGAGAGGCTTTGCTCCAGCACAAGCTCTTGCTATGATGTGCTGCTTTGCCACAAGTCCAAAGGTCAGAGAGCCAAAGGATCACGAACTGAGTTGGATAGACATCCCCTGACTCAGTCTCATGTGTGTGATTGCACATGTGTGGACATGTGCATGAATCTGCTTGGTACTGAGGAATACTCCTGCCAACCTCCCCTCCCTTTTATAATACTTTTTATTTTGAGACAGAGTCTCACTAAACTGTGCTCATCTGGATTTGAAGTCACTATGAACCTGAAGTGGGCCTTCAATTTTTTTATCCTCCTGCCATATCTTCCTGGGTAGTTGAGATTACAGGCTTGTGCCACTAGATCTGGATTTCTTCCTTTCTTTTTCTTTTTTCTTCTTTTGAGACAGCGTCTCCCTGTAGCCCCAGCTGTCCTGGAACTCACTATGTAGACCAGGCTGGCCTTGAACTCACAGAGATCCACCTGCCTCTGCCTCCTGGGTGCTGGGATTAAAGGCGTGGGCTACCATGCCCAGCTCTTTTTAATTTAATTTAATTAATTATTTTTATTTTATGTGTATGCGTGTATTGCCTACATGTAAGTAAGTGCACCCGTGTCGTGCAGTGTCCAAGGAAGACAGAAGAGGCTCTTGGATCCCCTGGAACTGGAGTTACGGACAGTTGTTAGCTGCCATGTGGGTGCTGGGATTCCAACCCGGGACTTCTGCAAGAACAGCCAGTGTTCTTAACCACTGAGCCATCTCTCCAGCCCCCTTCTTCTCTTTTTTTCGAGACAGGGTCTCACTATGTAGCCCTGACTAACCTGAAACTCAGTATGTAGACCAGGCTGGCCTGGAACTCAGAGATCAGCCTGCCTCTGCCTTCTGAGTACTGGGACTAAAGGAGTATGCCACCATATCCAGCTACTTGTCTCTTTATAAGTTAATTGTGTGAGGTATTTGTAACAGTGACAGAAATCAGAAACCTGGTGGCCATAAAACTGAACGATTCTAAGCTTCTTTAAAAATTTTTTTTAATTTATTATTTTATGTGTATGAGTGTATGTAACTGCACCCATGTCATGTAATGTCTGTGGAGGTCACAAGATACTGTCAGATTCCCCTGGAACTGAAGTTAACTGCCATGTGGGTGCTGGGAATAGGACCTGGGTCCTCTGCAAGAGAAGCCAGTGTTCTTAACCACTGAACTTAACTTCAATCCCAATTCTGTTTCTATAGACTATAGAAAACTCTAGTTATGCTGTGCAGTAACAGCAGCCACCAACCACATGTAGTCCCTGAGCACTGAATGTGGCAATCCAAACAGATGAGCTGTGAGTGTAAAATATACCCTGGATTTCAAAAATCAGCATGAAAAATTCAAAATATTGAAATGTTTAAGTTACAGTATTTTAGAAATATCAGGCTAAGCAAAAAATTAAAACAATCTTCTTTGATATACTTTGTAAAAGTGTGGCTACCAGCCGGGCATGGTGGCACACACCTTTAATCCCAGCAGAGGCAGGTAGATCTTTGTGAGTTCAAGGCTGGCCTAGTCTACACAGTGAGTTCCAGGCCAGCTGGGGCTACAGGAAAACCCTATCTCAAAAAGACACTCCCCAAAAAATGTGGTTACCAGAAAAATTTAAATTACACATATAGTTTGCTGTATATTCTATGCAACAGAGGCTCTCTAAAATACAGTTTCCACACTGGGCTTGGTACATATAACTGTGATCTCAGCACTGAAGAATTTGAGGCAGAATCATGGGTTTGAGGTCATTCGAGCTGCATGTTCCAGGGAGCTATAAAGTGAGAACTTGTCTCAAAAACAAACAACCATGAAAAAAAAATTTTGTTTTGTTTTGTTTTTGTGGTTCTGGAAATTGAACCCAGGGCATTACACATGGTAGACAAACGTTCTACCACTGAGCTACATTCCTAGGGGGTAAATTTTTCTAAAAGAATTGGGACATGACTGAAACCTTATATAGCTTCCATAGTATGCTTTGGGAGATAAGAGGAGGGAAACAGACGTTGGTGAGAGGAGAGTCCTACCTTCCTACAGACTTTGAGCATTACATTTCCTAGCCAGGCATGGTAGTCCACACCAGTAATTCTAGTACTCAGCAGGTAAGGCAGGAAGACCACTGCATATTCAAGTCGGGACTTGTACTACAGGTGAGATGTCTCAGAAGAAGGAAGAAGAAAAAGTCACCACCACCTTCAAGTATGACTCACATCTGCGTCCCTAACACTTGAGAGGTGGAGAACAGAAAATGAAAGTTCAAGGTCATCCGTGTTGTATAACTAACTAAAAGTGCTACATGAGATTCTGTCTCAAAAAACTGAAGAAAAAAAAAACCAAAAAACCAAAAAACTCATTACATTTTCTAAAGAAAATGAACAGTTATATGTTGGAACACTTACAGGCACTTTTCAAACTCTGGCAGAATGGTTCCTAATTGCATTCTCCGACGAGTTACATCAAATGGGTAGCTGAAAGAAATAAAAGAATTAAAGACAAAAAATAAGTTTCATTCCCTACTCAACTATTAAAACCAAAACCCTATACACACCAGGAAATAATGCTCCTAATTTCTTACTAATAAATCTAATCTGGGAATCAAAATCTACACACAGGAATAAAATCAATTAACTACAGAGGTCTGTGGTCTTACAGGTTTTGTCTCCATCACTACCACAATATGAGGTTCTATTTATTCCCCAAGGCCAAATGAAATGGCACTTCCTAAAGAAGCACTGGGTGCCCCCACCAGGTATGTCTACAAGGTTTCTCAGCCTCAAAACTATTGACATTTTTGGATGGACTGCTCTTGTGCAAGCTGTCCTGAGGGTTGCAAGGTGTTTAGATGCATCCCTAGCTCTACGCACCTGAAGCCAGTAGCATCTTCAAAATGATCTCAACCAACGGTCTCCAGACACAAGGGAATGTCCACTGGAGTCAAAATCACCCACACTGAGAACCAGTACCCTATGAACACGCAGCAGGCCCCCTCCAATACAGCACACCAGTACAGAACTGTCTCTAAAGGCTAGACCTAAGATTTAGATCATTATATTTCAAGGACAGAGAATATTATAACATCAAAAATTATACATGGAAAAGTAATCATTTGAAGTAGGATTCCAGGTGATTTTAAAAATTGCTTTTGCTGCTGGGCATGGTGGTATATATCTATAATTTCAGCATGAGTTGGAGGATAGTCTAGTCTACACAGCAAGTTCCAGGTCATCCAGACCTACACAGTGAGACTCAAAAAACCAATCAGTCAATTAATTAAATTACTTTTGCTAAGGCAGGCGTGGTAGTGCATACCTGTAATCTCAGTGCTCACAAGGCTGAGGCAGGATAATTACCGTAAATTCTAGGCCAACCTAGAGTACAATAATGAATTCAAGTCTACCCAAGGTCACATAGCAAGACTCTCACAAAAAAATAAAATAAAAATTACTGGCCAGTCAGATCTTCCTGAGTCCCAGGCCAGCTAGGGCTTCAGAAAGACCCTGTCTCAAAAAAAAAAAAAAAAAAATTACTGGCCAGTGAGATGGTTCAGAAGATAAAGGGGGCTTGCTGTCAAGCTTAAAGACCTGAGTTCGATCCCCAGGACCCAGGTGGAAAGAGGTCTTCTGACCTCCAAATAAACAAAACGCAATGAAAAACTTGTAGTTACTTTTCAGGGCTAAAGAGATGGCTCAAGGGCTAGAGAGACTGCTCAGCAGTTAAGAGCACTGACTGCTCTTGCAGAGGACCCAGGTTTGATTCCCAGCACACACATGGGGGCTATGAACTGTCCTTAACTCCAGTTCCAGGGAAATCCGAAGCCCTCTTCTGACCTCCTTGGCATTGCATGACATGGGTGCACTCACATACATGCAGGCAATACACTCATACACATAAAATAAAAATAATAAAATATTTTAAAAAACAGAGATGGCTCAATGATTAAGAACACCTGCTGCACAATCATGAGGACCAGAGTTTGGATCCCAGTGCCCACAGAACAAGCGGGGCATCCCACAAAAAAAAAAAAAAATCTGGCCGGGCGTGGTGGTGCACGTCTTTATTCCCAGCACTTGGGAAGCAGAGGCAGGCAGATCTTTGTGAGTTCAAGGCCAGCCTGGTGTACATAGTGAGTTCCAGGACAGCTGGGGCTACAGGGAGACCCTGCCTCAAAAAGACAAAAAAAAAAGTCTGTAATTCCAGATCTGAGGGATCCCACATCTTCTCCTGGTTTCTGAATAAGCACAAGCATGCACACCCACACACATACATTCACATATAAACAAATGAAAATAAAGTAAATCATTTTCAAAAAATAAATAAAAAATAAGAATGCCAGGCATGGTGGTGCACACCTCTGATCCTAGTACTGGGGAAGCAGAGGAAGGTGGATCTCTGTGAGTTCAAGGCTATCCTGTTCTACATAGTGAGTTCCAGGACAACTGGGGCTACTGGGAGACCCTGTCTCAAAAAGACCAAAAAAAAAAAAAAAGACCAAATAAATAAATAAATAAACAAACAAATAAAAAAGGCATTGAAGAGATGGTTTAGCAGTTAGGAGCACTGCCTGCTCTTATAGAGAACCCAGGTTCAGTTCCCAGCACCTACATAGCAGCTAACAATCACCTCTAACTCCTGAAGCCCTCTTCTGGCCTCCTCAGGCACTGCACACACATGATGTACTTACATACACTCATATGCTTAAAATAATAAATCTAGCCAAGTGTGGTAGCATATACCATTAATCCTAGCATTCCAGAGGCAGAAGCAGGTAGATTCTCAGTGAGTTGAAGGCCAGCCTTGTCTATATAGTATGTTCCAGACCAGTCAGGGCTGCATGAGACCCTGTCTGAAAAAAAAAAAAAAAAAAAAAATTTAAAAAAAAAAAAAAAAAAAAAAAAAAAATTTTTTATACCTTAAATGAGTTCAATACCAGCCTTGTCTACAATACTGAGTTCCAGACCAGCGGGGGCTACAGAGAGACCCTGTCCCAAAAAAACCAAAAAAAAAAAGCCAAAATAACAAAAATAAATAATAAATAAATAAATAAATAAATAAATAAATAAAAGAATTAAGGGAAAAAAGCGCATGAAGATAAAAGCCCAAAACTTCAACCCAGGGACTGAGTTGTCAACCAGAAAGGCTATATGCAGATAACAGATTATCAGAAGAAAATGTAAGAGGACAAGGTAACAAGGACCAGGGGGATTAAGTGGGAAAGAAGGAAAACGGCAGCATTCTGAAGTAAAAATGCGACAAGACTTACATAAAGACTATTTGTATATACACACTAAGAAAACAATTTCAAGTTCTCAGAGCTGAGAGAGGGTAAAGGAAATGTGCTTTCTTTTCTATCAAAGGGTTAAATGAGAGAAAGTTCTATCTCTCCCCCAGTAAGAATCTCTGAGATTAAAGTTTGTGTTCAAGGGCTGGAGAGATGGCTCAGAGGTTAAGAACACTGAATGTTCTTGCAGAAGACCCAGGTTCAAATCTCAGAACCCACATGGCAGCTAACAACTGTCCGTAACTCCAGTCCCAAGGGATCCGACAGCCTCTTCTGACCTCCAAGGGCATTGCACAACACCAGTGCACTTACCCTACATGCAGGCAATACACACATACACATAAAATAAAAATAAATAAAATTTTTAAAAAGTTTGTGTTCAAGATTGCATCTTGCTCTCAAAAGCGGCGAACCACCTGAGTGTAAGACCAAGTTCTGACCACTCAGAGTGAGGCCCCCTTTGTGTTAGAAATAAAAACCCAGTAGGACCATCACTGAAGTGTTTACCTTGTTGAAATACTTTGGATCAGCCTGGCGAGGTGGCGCACGCCTTTAATCCCAACACTCAGGAGGTAGAGGCAGGCAGATCTCTGTGCGTTTGAAGCCAGTCTGGTCTTCATAATGAATCCAGGACAGCTGTGACTACAGGGAGCCCGTCTCAAAAAGACCAAGAAAAAAAAAAAAAGAAAAACTGTGGATCATGTGGTCATTTTCTTGAGACCCCCTGTCTCAAAAAGACCAAAAAAAAAAAAAGAAATACTTTGGATCATGTGGTCATTTTCTTGAGACCCCAGACCCACTTTTAACAGAGCTAATAGAGGTATGGTGGCAACACTCAAAAGGAGACATAGAAGGATCAAGAGTTCAAGGCCATCGTTGGCTATATGGCAAATTGAGACCAAAGCTACATGAAACCCTGTCTCAAGAAACAAAGAACAGCCAGGCATGGTGGTACATCCCTATGTAGTCCAGCACTCCAGGGACAAAGGCAGGCTGATCTCTCTAAAATTGAGACCAGCCTAGTCTACACATAGCGAGTTTCAGACCAGTTAGGGCTACAGGAAAACCCTGTCTCAAAAAAACAGAAAAAAAAATGTACACAAAAGCTGAACATAGTGGCATACACCTGTAAGGCCTGCACTTAGCTAACAGAGGCAGAAGGAGCTCAAGGTCAAAGCTAGCAAGCTACATAGCAAGATCCTGTCTCAAAAAACAAAAAAACCACAAATCAAAGAAGGGATAGAAACACATCACTCAACACCAGAAAGGAGAAAGACTGTTTTAAGACCCAATGAACTAGAACAGTTGAAAAGAATGAAAGAATTGAGAAGGAAGCCACTGCATTAAGGTCCATGCAAAAAGGAGTATCATTTAGAAGTAGGAAATGGGCTGTGGATACAGCTCAGTTGGTAGTGCCTCCCCAACATGAGAGAGTTCTGGGTTCCATCCCCAGCAGCAAGTAAACCCAGGAAATGAAGCCTGGTTGTAGGAGCAGTAATCCAGCAGTGGGGAGGTGGAGGCAGGAAGATTCGAAGTTCAAGGCCATCCTCAGCTACATAACAAGTTTAAGGTCAGTTTGGATTATAGGATACCCTATCTCAGAAAAAAAGGAGGGAAAGAAGATGGATTTTAAAGATCTAAGCTGGGAGTTCAAAGTGAAGACAGGGAGGTGGAAAACCAAGAGTCAGAACAGCTGGAGGTGATGTCTACAAAGGAGCCATGTTCTACAGCCAAATTCCCACAAGCACAGCACACCTCCCATCTCCTATGATCAGCTCTCATTACAAGTACAACAAATCTACTTTCACAAGGCAATTCCTGAGAAACCCAGTAAAGGCCTTCCATCTTACTCTGACTTTTCCTACCTGGTTCTCTTTGACTCTTGTGACACTAGAATCCTTGGTGTCTTCCTACATTGCAGGGCAATTCCTTCTTAGCCACAAAAGCTTTCCTCTTCTTATTTCTGAGAAGTTCTTGCTGCTTAGTCTTTTACTCTTTATCTCACTCTACTTAATCTCTCTTGGTCTAGGGAAATTTCTTGACACCATCTTTCCAATTGTGATATGGAAATGCTTTTATGAATGTTCCCTCTACATGTTACCATCTTTAAGTCCAATTAAATAATATTGCCACCAGGCTAGCTGGGTGCAATGAAATATGCCTTTAATCTCAGCACTTGGGAGGTAGAGGCAGGTGGACCTCTGAGTTCCAGGTCAGTTTGGGCTATAGGGAAATCCTGTCTCAAAACAAAAATAAAAAATAAAAAAAATAAAAAATAAATAAAAAAAACAGAACACACACTCTCTCCTTTTGGTTTTGGTCTTTTTTTTTTTTTTTTTTTTTTTTTGAGACAGGGTCTCCCTGTAGTCCCAGCTGGCTGGAACTCACTATGCAGACCAGTTGGCCTCAAACACAAAGAGGTCCACCTGCCTCTGCCTCCCAAGTGCTGGGATTAAAGGCATGCACCACCATGACCTATTCTTTTGGTCTTTTTTTAGGCAGGGTCTCCCTGTAGCCCCAGCTGGCCTGGAACTTGCTTTGTAGACCAGGCTGACCTTGATCTTACAGAGATCTGCCTGCCTCTGTCTCCCATGTTCTGGGATTAAAGGCATGAGTCACCACGCCCAACAGATGCTCTCTTCTGGACTCCACAGTCACTAAACTCACAGGCAGTACAAACCAACTCCCACACACAGATATACATATAATAAAAAGTAAAAATAAAATCTAAAAAATAAAAAAAAATACTATATGGAACAAAGTAGGCTTTCAAGATTTTAAGCCAGGAGGGCTTTACACACACACACACACACACACACACACACACAGAATAAATGGCTCACACTTCAGGAATTTATTGTAGCCAAATCCATGAGAACAAATGGATTATTTAGTAATTCTCATTTGCTTTTGTTCAAATGATTCCACAGGAAACTGGACAGATTTGGATAAATACAATCAACTTGGCATGTAATTATCGATCATATGCTTACAATGAAAGCATAGCTGAAAAAGTATTAATACTTATAAAAATTCATAGTCATATTTTGTAAAGGATTCAGCTTCCCAATAATCTGTTAGGAGAAGATCAGATGAAGCCAGGTAACCGTGCCTGATGGAGTCAAGTTGGTGAGGACACTTACGATATTGTCTGTGCTATTGCTCCAGCAACACCACCACAAAGTAAGTTTATGTGAGTTTTCAAAACTAAGATATTAGGATTGTCTGATGAAGGTCTGCCAAGAAGGGTAGGAGCATGGGCAAGCCCAACACTCTTTAAGGTACCAAAAGTAAAAAATGAAACACCTGAAAAACAAAATATAGATTCACCATGATGCTTACCCAACATGAGCTGAGAAAAAGACCTTTCTTACATAATAAACAATTAATTCAAGAAACTAATTATGCATTTTCTAATTTCTGATGTTTGCCTTAACCTAGGATAAAAATATTTAATACTTATAAATACTAAAGCCAAAGAAATTACTACATATAGGGGCTGGAGAGATGGCTCATGGGTAAGAGTTCTGGCTGCTCTTGCAGAAGACTCAGGTTCAGTCCCCAGTGGCTAACAACTATCCATAACTCCAATTCCACAGAATCTGATGCTCCCTTCTAGCTTCTGAGGACACTGCATGACACACAAGTGCACTTACATACATGCTGGCATGTATGGTATGTAGATACCCATGTACATAAAATAAAAATAAGTAATTCCACCTCGGTTTTCACACACTAATGTATTGTGTGTTGAAAGGAACGATAGTGAACATAATTTCACATCATATATTGAGTAGAATTAAACAGTATTCCAATGTTTAAAATGAATGACATTGAAACT